AAACGAATGTAAGGATTCGTTATTTTTATTTCAGGGTTTCAATTAATTTTTTTGGAATTATTACTTTTCTCTACAGGTAAGTAACAGAATTTAAATTTCGAACAGAGGCTTATATAAGAATTACATAAACTCTCCAAAACATATTTAAAGAGATATCAGCGAAACAAAAATCGATTGAATTCTGTCCTATTTGTAATCCATTTTCACCTGAGTTATCTGGCGAGTAAAAGAACAAAAATTGACCTACTTCAGCAATATAACAAGACGAAGGAAATTCTAAGAAAAAATACGATTATCCTAACTGTGGAATGTGACTATTAATACGATCCTTAATATGCAGATAGTTTGACGCTGGTACATTTCGTGTATCATATTGGCCTGCGTTACGCCAGGTGTATCTTTTTCCTCCTTTCGCCGATCGGTATTAGAAGGAATGTTTGCCTTTCAGAAAGACGCCCCAAGCGTGATCTCATTACGTATTTCTTTTTATTTTTCCAATTGCGCCACGACTAATTTAAACGAACACTCCTTCATTACTTTTTGTAAAGAGTAAATTTCATACACAAACATTTGATTCCTCCAAAACATCCCGTACTAACTTCAATAACCTTCCTCTCAAAACCGAAAGGAAATTGTATTTCCACTTAAATATTCTTTTTCCTTTACGTTATATTGCTCATTCTTTTTTCTTATACGACATGTAATATCTTTAGAAGTCGGATTTCAGAGAGTTTATTTGAAGCGCAACTTTGAGCATTTTGAGAATGAAGATCAAACAATATTTGCGTTAAAATGCTTTGTGCGGTAATTTTAAAAGTAAAACAAAGCGGAAAATTAACGCGATAACGGAGAAAAGCCAGGTAATCGTGAAATTCAATTTTCCAATCCAATTCCGCATTTTATTTTCTAAATCTCATGTCCAATTCGGGATGATTCAAACAATTTTACTTGAGAGCGACAGGATCACAAATCCCTTCGAGATGTTTCCGCAGATGGAAAATATCGATTTCAATTGTTAGCAACGTAACGATGTTTAATAAGGGTATTTGATCTACGGAGGTGGGTAGCCATAGTCATAATTATCAAACGCTGAACAGATGGTCTTTAAGGACATTGTTTATTCTATCGTAGTCTACAACGTTTTTGTGGTTGGAAATATACCTAGAAGTTGATGGATACAAGTTTAATTTAATTTAATCAGTTAGTCCCTCGACTATTGTCTACCTATTACTCAAACCAGAATTGGAAAATTCGAAAGTACACAAAATAGTCCAGTCAAATTATCATAATACCTTGCATCAGATGTGTCATTTCTATTTTTTTTTTAATTGTTAGGTCAAAAATCCAACTTCTCGACATCCAAAGACCTGTGTGTGCAACGCAGCACTCGAAAATACGCCATTTTTTCTATTATTTTTAAGTTTTGGTTAGTTTTAGTTCTGAAAGGAAAGATTTTAACGCAATTACTGTCGTATAATTTTTTAAACTAGACCAAATTTGTGATAATTCAAGCCCTTAACTGACTCTGTAAGTCTAATAGTTTTGGAGATACAGCGTTTCAAAAATTCGTAAATTCTTCAGTTTAAATCAAATTTGCATTTTTTTCGCATAAAAACCTCATGAACATTTTTATAATTTTGTTCGTTTGAGGGGACTTTGTGGTGAGGAGTCTCCATAAATCCGCACAGAAAGAGCTAGAATGTTGATATCCTCTGGGACCCTAGCATCTCCCATGATAAGAAAGTTGTCATCTCAATCTTCTTCAACAAGATCCACACTACCTGTTGCATGGATTGCGAAATCTGTGAATTTTGCCTGACCTTGTTCGACCATTCAAAAGGGACACCGAATATAGAAGATCTGTGATAGTAGCAGAAGGCCTACCACAACACTATGGTTTGAGTGAATAAGGCATCATATAAACATGGATATTTTTCCACTAAAAGACAAAAATCAATATTTAATTTGCTTTCATTATCCGCAATTTTTAGCACTTCTTCAACAACAAGTTTATTACGACTCACGATTTACGACAATTCATCGTGCATATTTTGTAAGTTTACTTTCTGCGAAGAAAAAACGCAAATTTTGATAAAACTTGTATAACTAATAAATTTACCAATAGTTGAAGCACCGTATCTCGGAAACTATTAGACTTGAGGAGATCGTTAAGGGCTTAAATTGTCAGAAAATTTGTCTAGTTCAAAAAAGTATACGACAATCTTTGCATTAAAATCGGTTCTTCAGGAGCAAAACTTACAAAAACCCAAAAATGGTAAGAAAAATTACATATTTTCAAGTGCTGTGTCGCTTGCACAGGTCTTTCAATGTCGAAAACTTGGATTTTTAACATCCATATTGATCCTAACAATTTAAAAGAAAAATTAGACATGACATATCTGATGCACGGAATGCCCATTTTTTGGTCTAATTTGACTGTACTAAAAATCGGGAATCTTTGAAAATGAAATTATTAACTGCAGCGTCGACCGCGCCGGCCGCGTGTTGCCGCTCCGAGTGATAGTGAAACCGTTCCCGTGAAGACGATTTTCAATTTCCCAGAATGAAAAACAACCGACAAATAAGCCATTGCCTCTTATTGAAGCTGGTGAAATTTTTAATGAGATACCACTTTTGGTGTTGCAATAGGTAGTAGCCTATTGTACCTTATGGATAATCTGCCAGTGATAGATCCTCAATTACTGTAGCAAGACTTAACCCAGTAGAAATTTATCTTCCTAGGTGTCTGCTATCTTCGTATTTCGTATTGAGCGACCTGCGTGTCACAGCGATTTTCAGTGCGCCTATTAGAGGCCGGAAACCCCAAAAACCCATGGGAACGATTGACTATAAAACTGAATCGCAATTTAGATTATTTTTTCAGATTTAGTTACCTTGTATAGGATTTTGAGAACAAGAAGGCAAAAGCTGATTAGGAAAAGGGAGGGATCAGATTCAGAAGTCTTTTTAGCATAAAGTAGTCTGCTGCAAAAACATCGTAACATAGCCTTTTTCTTTTATTAGCCATCAGTCTATTTTCGGCGTTTAACTTGTCTTTATAATTCGATATTCCTCCTTTAGTTTAAGTTAATTTGCTCTCATCATGTATGCCTTTTAGGGGAATTTTTCAAAAGAAACAAATTCCTCTTATGTGATGGTTTTGTCCATCTGTTCCTGTTCCTCGAGAGCGAAAAGAGCTCTATTTAATATGAACCGGTTTACATTTTGGTTTCCGAATACGAGCTGAGTGGCAAAAAATTCCCCTACTGAAAATTGTATCCGATTCTTCGTATCTTGTTTACTTTTCCATTTCACTACTTATTACAGACTGGTATAGACAACGCAGTGCATACGTTTCTCTGAATCTTTCAAAAATTTCCCCTGACCAATTTTCCTTATGAGCTACACTCTGTAATTGTTTTTAGTTTTTAGTTACACGCAAAGTCAAAGAAATGTTTGAGAATACTTTAGATTTGACGATCAGCAAAAACACTCAACCGCGACGTACATGTAGTTCAAGAAAAAATTATTACATGAATTACATAAATAAATGCAAATTAGCTGCAGGTTCTCCAGCTATTGTTTAAATAAATATAAATAATGTAGTATAACGTTTGTTTAGATCTATAAAAGTAACAATATTCTAGAACAAGCACGTCTTGGCTTGCAGATCCAATAGGAAATAATATTCAATGATTCAGTAGGCAATCAGAAGTACTAAACCCTCTATGAGTTACATACAGTGAATAAAGTATAAATAAATAAATAAATAAATATTCATGTAGAAGTAGACATAGGAATTTCCTTTAGGAGTTTCCTATGTCTAATTTTAAATGATAAAAAGTCTTCTAAAGGACGCCTATCTATATGCAACCAAAATAATTACCTGCAACAAATGAAGATCTGCCTGTCATATTAATTAATTTGAATATTATCGCTTTGACTTCCGTATTCTAATTTTCGTTCGTGTGCGATGTATTTAACTAAAGAAAAAGTTGATATTTCCACTTGGTATAGTGCCGGTAACAGTGAAGCCAAAGCAACAATATTCAAATTAATAAGTAATATGACATCCAGATCTTTATTTGGTCAAGAAGTTATTTTGGTTGCATAAAATTAGGCGTCCTTCGGAAGACTTTTTATCATTTGAAAGTACACATTGGAAATCCCTATGTCTACTACTTGAATATCACCGTACGTACTTATATAATATATATTTTATATTCAAGTTGCGTATAATCCAAGTACGAACATGAACATCCCTACCAACTGGGACCTAAATATAACATTTGAGTTTTGACGACATTGTTAATAATTCTTACGATACTTTGAATTTATTACAAAGTGAATCCAGTCTACTGGGTCTGTATGCAGACAGTAAGGGGCGTAGGATTTTAAGTAGCTAGAAATTTGCAGGTCACGGGCTCCCAAAACTGCTCGGTTTCCGGGCTCAAAAGGATTTTGTTTACGTTTCTGAACCAAATTTGTAAGATTAATGAAATACTTGGTTTCCCATCCGTGTTTATTAGTTTAATGATAAAATCATACCGACACCTTCATTTTAGATCTGCCGCTGCAAATTGGTATCAAAGCGAAGATCTTTAACGTTAAAGAAATAAACCGAATAATTATCTACATTTAACAACGGGCACGTAATTTAAATGATGTAATGCTGGAATGTACGGTACGATAAGGTGGGAAGATATAAAAGACTTTGAATATCAAATTCTATTGTGCCATAAAATTTTTATGGGGTTATTAAAATCAATCTTAAAACATGTATACTGCCGAAATACTGTTTAAAATATGGAATCATTCTTTCGATACGCGAAAATGATATAAAATTCAAGCTTGAAACGTGCTTGTTTTAATTAAAGTTAATTACTTTCGGAAAGTTCTCCATTAACCAACTTTCTTTCTAGTTTGCGGGAACGTGCAGCCAATTAATCGAGGTAAACTTTTATATTGTTCCAGGGGGTGGATAAATCAAAACGACTCACCTGAGAGTTAATCGCACTTAGATGCATTTGGGCCACTCGAAGATCGAACCGTTTCATCGAGATATCCTCTTGTATTTCATTAACCTTATTATACAAAGCCGACTCAAGCGAGCGTTGTTGAATTCGCAGAAGAGTCTCTAGAGAGTCCTGTATTTGCCTTATTTGAGCATCTAGATCAGCAGATTCCTTTTTCAGGGCGTCATGAGCCGGCTGCACTTGTACCGCCGAAAGTCGGTCTATCACCAATTGATCTTTCAAAGGCGGCGGGACGTTGTCCTGTAATAATAATGAGCTGTTGAGGCAAACTTGATTACACCGCACTTACTTACGTTGATAATTTCGCAGGGGTCCCCACCGTCTAAGGCGTCTGGTGGCTGAGGTTGAGGTGCTATAAAGGGACGTTTTGCTGAAAGTCCTCTTCCTTGCGCCGTCGGCATCGATCTTGCTAAATGAGCCATATCCGATGTTGCTGAAATTGCCCGACACTGCGATATGAGGTTTTCGTACCTTCTGTGCCTTTCGGTTGCCTGTGTTATGAAAATTTCCATTACGTAACATAATTGCATATGCAAAGAAGCTTATACAAGCTGGTAACGGCGAATAGAATTTTGTGTCGGATTTATACACAAATATGAAAAAAACCGGTACGCTACTCTTGAGGGCAATATGTTTTTGTTGTAGGGGTTCGGATTTCCTGCTTTCAGAATTAAGGCAAAACAAGATTTCACGGAGATTCCTTCTTATTAAAAAATCTTTAGGATACTTCACTTTAAAATTCCTACAGTATCATTAATGAAATATTTTGGCGCGTTTGCGTAGGGTGCATTTTAAGTTGAATGGGATGTTCCCCATTTCTAATCGTGCTCATTATCCAGCTCAGTTTTCTGCCATTCCCGAACTCAATTTTACGGCGATTATCTCTTCATAGAGTCAACATACCCCGTGGCAATTTACTTTATAAATACAGTGTATTTCGAAGATATTATTTCCGCTTACCTACTTTGTTCATTATTACAGGTCTTAACTTTATGAGGTAAATGAGAGGAGGACAAGAATGTTACGAAATAGACAAATCGGCAGCTTCGACCGTAGTCCATTTGTACTAAATTGTACCGAAAGATTAACTTGGAGCTTATGTTCACACCCGTCCGTAAAGATGACACATAGATAAATGTTTCAGGTCCATTGAGAAGGTTCATTACAATCCCAGCAATCCATTACTATAACTAACCTTAGGGTTCCGTAATCAAGACTAAACCCAACAAAATTACAGGCTTGTACTCGTTGTAGTTACACCGTTACACGTGTTAGTGGAGCAAATAATGTTACAAATCTGTGATTTAATTCATGTTGTACATGAAAATAGAGTAGTGGTTCACAGTGAATTACGAGGACCAGTTAGCCGTATCTAGGGATCGCTTAAAAGCCATCAACGTTAAATATTACAGGTATGCAATGTTTCGTGTTCATTTCGTTGCTGCTGATCAAAAATTTTGTTCTGATCAAACAAAACTGTTATAATCATTTTGAAAATGACTATGTAGGCGTAATGAATGCATAATTGCACCACATATTCCATGTATTTTTCGTGCTGTTACGTACCTACACTAATTGTGTGTGCTCATCAAATAAAAACGTTATCAAACTTTGAAAATGGATTTTTATTCTCTATTTGACTATTTACAGAATAAAAATATTACTCCACTCCAACACCCCCTCTGCAATCTGAGCATCATCTCTAAAATTTTAAATAAAAAAGGGGGTCGTGTAGCGCATTGTCCGACAGAGATTTTAAGTCTCGGTTCATTAATATACAGTTTTGAGCGCATTGTAAAACTTTCGGGTTTTCGGCATTATATACTCATTATCGTATTATTCCTGCATCGCTAGTCTGAAAGCTGAAAGCCATTCTTAAAGTTGATAATCTATTAAATGATGATGACTTGATTTAGTCGAAATCGATTGCCCTAAGAAAAAAAATATATAAAAATTATAAGTTTTACTATTAACGTCTAATTACTTTATTTCACTATTAATGTCCTTTAAATTTGTTAAAATAAGGAAATAGAATATCACAGTGTCTAATGGAAAATACTTTACAGTAATTTGGCCCTTTCTTTAATCCTGATTATCAAACATTTGTTACTTGTTTGAGATGATTGACTGCAGACAATAAATACAAGTTTAAAGTGAAATGATATTATATTGACATTATAAAAACTGTTCACAGTTCCACTTTCTTATTTAATCTTTTTAAGTATACAGGTAAAACTCGTAGGTACTGAATGTGTAATTCCTATACCGTGTGCAGTACTGCAGAAATTGAAACAATTTTGGTAGGATTTTCCCATTTCGATAATACTTTTTGATTTTGAAAATACATACACCCTGCTCCAGCGCTACGCCTCTTCATCTCGCCCAGATTCGTAAAAGTCTATAGCTCGGCGTTCCTATGAGATCTGAACGAAGACAATTTCTCAGTTTCAGGTTTAGTGTGTAAGAAAATGCTATTGAACCCACCGAATTGGTAATTTGTTGGAATTTGTGGGGCATAATTTTGTTGTTTTGGAATATCACCTGTAAGAAACGTGATGGTCTCTAAGGTAATCGTTTAATAACAAAAAGTCCATAGAATTTCACCGGCAAGTCCCTAATTTGCGCCCATGGTTGGAGGGGTTGGAGGGGGTGCGTCGCCAACTATGTCATTGTGATTCCCCCTCCGAATTAACGAAACGGATAGATTTTTTAAAATATCTGGTTTATTTACTAAGATATGGGGGGTGGTAAGTTTTCAAATTGCCACCCTGTATACCATGAATATTAGCGAAATTAATAATTTTTTGTAAAGGTATGCACAACTCGCTAAATGAAAATTGACCCGCACGGCCAAGACCGTGCATTTTTCATAAACGGATTCGTAATTTTTGCAATTCCCGTGGCGAAATGTATAAGATCACATCGAAAAAGCGAAGATTTTTGACAATTTTTTTCTTCTGTTTTTGTATGGTAAAATTGAACAATTTCAATTTTTTTGTTAAACTATTTAAGTAGGCTTCGTATTTCGATGAAACCTTCTGTAATGTGTACTTTGTGATAAATTTCAACGTTCGATATATCGATATTTCATGATTGATTAGTGAGTGTGCATTTTGTTTGCGCATGCGCAGTATAATTTTTTGTGCGTGCATTTTGTTTAATTGTATTAGAGAGGCTCTCATAAACATTTCGATTTCCATAAATAAAAAAGCATGCATTTTGTTTGCTTTTATTAGAGGGAAATTTCGATTGAATACGTCAAAAAATAGGAAAGTTGCGTTTTGTGCGTGCATTTTGTTTGTTTTTTTATTAGAGGAACATACCATAGAAATTTTGATTAATTTGCTTAGTTTGTAACATTATTTTCTTACCGATTAAAATTCCTAATTCAAATACTGTTTAAGTAACTTTTAATTCGTATTCTTATTTTTAAATTCCTTGCGTTCGTCATTTTCAAAAACATTCGTACGCCATCTAGGTATTTACTTTGTAATCCACTAGTTTAAGATGTAAGTATTTCCTGTAGTAAATTTGTTATTACCTTAGTATAGATTTCTTATTACAATAGTCCTTTATTTTGCCGTCCGAGGTCGTGCAAGTTCTTTTTAATTCTTTTCGGCGCACGCACTTCTTTGTGCAAAGGAAGAACAAGTCAGTTGGATACATGTATTTCCATACACTGCTTGCATTCATCTATGAATTTGCAAGGGTTGCACACTAAGGCCCGGTTGCACAATGTTATTTTAAACTTCAGATTAGTTTAACTGACAGATTTCAGAAACACGATTGGTCAACTGGTGAAATATTAGCCCATCAAATCCTTTCACCCACAATTTACCCATAAACTGAAGTTTAAACTGACATTGTACAACTGGGTCTTAGAGACGGATTTTTGATAATTAACGCATTTCAATGTCAGGTTAGTTTAACCAAAGATACATTTGAAGTGAACAGGTCTCGTATTATATCCCAAAAGATATTTCGTTCACTAATATTCTAAGGTCGAGTTTCACTGTTTAATTTCTCCGACTTAATTGGTAGATTCATTTGCAATTAGGGCACGCTCTGTTTATCGCACCGAACAAGCCCTTACGGGCACATTCTCGCTTTCAATATTCCGAAATCGTTCACAGAAATGACCTAATAAGTGGCCTAAGGAATATTACGTCGTCAGTTATCGCATTGAAAATTTAGAAACCGCGCGGCTCTAAAGATTGATGAGAACCTTTGTGTACATAACACGCAAATAAATCTCTCCTTCCTTAAGAGGAAACTGCGGTTTTATATTTGTCAACGCTCCCCCATTGTTAAATATGTACACGTGACTCATTTATTATACTGTCAGAATTGAAATAATACAAACTAATGTTTGGATTTATCCAATGGAGGCTTCTATGTCAAAATTTTCGCGTCACTCACCCTCGCCGATACGATTTCTGCCTCTTGTAAAATAGCTTCCGACACCGATGAACATAAATCCGTGTAGATTTCATCGATTTCCTGAAAATAAAGCTTATTAGTCATGAAATTACGTTTTCCTAGTAGCTTAAAAGAACTCATTTACTTCGGTCAATATAGCGTAATCCAATTTGGAATGTCATTTAGTTGCTATTTTAGTTTCAAAAGTTTAATCAGGCGTGTATATTTACACTTTAAATGCGATTTCAAAGTATACGCCTTAATTGAAGCTTTTAAGGACGCTAATTTTCTTTTTTAATTTCGTTTCACCTATTACGCTCACTAACACAATTTGTATGCATACACAGGTCGCCCAAATTAAATTTTCTTGCTTACATAAGCTCCCAAATTTTGCCGTAATCTCGTTAGATAAATACCGTTTAGGGGTGCTCAGTTTTAGTGGTATCCATACTACATTTTGGTTTATATGATCCCGTTGGCTTTGTTCTCAAAAAAGTTTGCACACCCACACCAATTGAAAGATTATAAAGCTTTTCGACAAAAGAAAAACACCGGTTTTCAAAAGCTTTATTATATGAGAAAACTTTTGTACATTTATATTTCTGCCTTAAAAAAGTTTTTCGGCGATACTGATTTATTGTTCAACATTTTTCATTTTGTTTGAATAACTTCCATAAACACACGTGCGAACAATTGCACATGTCTAAATCTTTACCAAATATTTAGCGATTATTTTCTGCGCCAGCTTTACTTGGGTATGACCCTGGGCATCATCGATGTATATCGTAATAATAAATTTGCTGTTCAGCGTGTCTCTTATTAGAAAAAGATGGCAATTCGCAACTTGAGTCTGCTGTGCAATTCATATTGATGGTCCAAAACGTACGTCTTGCATTTGCATTAGCTTTTCGTCTTTTTTTTTGCTGGTCATTTCTGGAGTGTTTAAGCGGCAAATTGTAACAAATTTATGCAATTGTTGTGAAATTCAAAATGGGCAGACGTAATTATAACATTTCTTCTACGTTCATAATTAACTAACACCTTAAATTATTACTATCAACATAATAATAATCGCCTTTAGTGTGGTGTCACACTATGCGTTTTTACCGCTCCCGCTAAAACGCTCCTGTTTGACGGGATGGTAATATCACACGTTATTAAATGGTACCAGTCACATATATGTATGCGTTTTCGCCGCACCAACCGGATGCAACCGCATCCTGCTGCCGCTGCGCAGGATGACATGACAACCACAATGACATGAAACCACGTGTTGTTGCACGTTGGTTGTCATCAGTTGTCACACTGAGCGATGCAACCGGGTGTTTTGTTAGGTTTACAATGTTTGATGTCGGTTTATTCATCGAGTGCGTGCATGCAAAAACTGCACTGTGGGAAAAACAATCTAAAGAGTATGTAGATAAAAACTGTAGGGAGAAATCATGGGTAGAAATTGAATTTTTCTACAACTGTCAAAAAAACCTGTCATTTTCTGACGGATTTCGAAACGCGAAGTACTAGATTTTTAATCGGTTAATTAATAAGTAAGGTTGCTCTTGACAACGTGCGCGAAATCGTCAACAGTGAAAAAAAGTATTTCGCGCACGGGACAAAGTTGAACTTAAACAGCAAATTTAATTAACAATCGGTTCAGTTGTAGAAAAAATATTGTATATAACGCTAGCGGGAAGTTATTTCGCGCATTTGACTGATATTTTAACTCGGCTTCGCCTCGTCAAAATACCTTCAGTCTCAATGCGCGAAATTGAACTTCGCGCTCTTGTTATATAAATAATGTAACGTTATTTATAAATTCGGGTTCGATTTATATCAATATTTATTAAACAAAACTAAAACACTATAAAAACCGTACAATTTATATCGATTATTTATATCACACACTTCGAAATTTATATCAGCTTTTCGCGCTCTATGTTTCGTTCGCACTCGATCTCGTTCGATAGTAGACTGCCGCGATGTTCGGTCCGCAACCATTTATACACGCAAACAATGTAAGTCCAGTACATTCTCGAATACGCGTAGAAAATTCCAGAGTGCCAAAGGCGACGTCATGTCTGCAGCACATTTCCGTTACACTGCCCCCTTCTTAATTCTGGACGTCTCGTTCAGAAACTGCGTTAGTATTACTTTTTAATGCCTCGTGTCGGAATCTGCAGTCAGAGCCTGCTCGACAAACACCTTTCTTGAAAAAGTAACAGTCCACAGTTTTGCGGAGGGTCGTCCTCTGTGGGTTGAAGCAGCATACTGTAATTCGAACGCTAGTGTTTCTAAAAATCACTTCGATCATGGTTCGCACTATCTTCCAGTCCAACCCATCTAAACCACATCCAATCTTCGGGATCGCCAAGCTATTTATGTCATAGAATGCCATGAGTTTCTTTAAGCTTTTTAAAGCAGACCAGAGGTTTTCATAGGTGGGTTTGCCTTCTGACGTTTTCTTTGAAACCAAGTAGAACAAAGAGCATTGACTATCTTCCAAGCGCAGTACTTTACCCACTCGTGGTCTTTGCTTTAACAACTCGTCCATTCTTCCAAATCTTTTCCGGAATACGGAAGCTATACCTCTACCCATGCGAAGGTCTTCGGCGACACAATGGGCGATGGAAACGTTAACCGGAAGCTCAAAAATATTTTGACAAATTCCCTGAGTAACGCCAAATCGAGCTTTCTTCCGCTGGGCGTAATTTGACATAAAATCGTTAAAGTTTGGCTCGATCCCAAAGCGGCGTTCCTCTTCTCGAATACCTCTAACTTCTTCGTTGTTGTTGGATCCGGCATATCGTGCGAGTCGATTAATGTGGACAACTTTCGGTTTCCGGTGTTTCATTCTGATACGATATATCACGTCATTTATTTTCTTGATCACCTCATACGGACCTTCCCATTGTCTTTGTAGCTTGGGAGAAAGACCTCTTCGCCTCTGTGGATTGTGCAGCCATACCAGATCTCCAGCTTCAAAAGTTTCATTGGCCGAGCGGAGGTTGTATTGATTTTTCATGCGATCGCTGGCAATCTGAATATGACTTCTAGCCAAGTCGTGAATGTCGTTCATCTTCACTCTTAGTTGGTCAACATAATTTTCACCTGCGACATATTCTTCATGGGGTTTACGCCCAAACTCGAGATCACATGGAAGGCGTAGCTCACGACCCAACATAAGGCAGGCAGGAGTCTGACCCGTGGTCTCGTTGACGGCTGATCGATATGCCATAAGGAACAGGTGGAGGTACTGGTCCCAATTTTTCTGATGTTCTGCCACGACTTTTGAAAGATATTTACCCATCGTTCGATTCATTATCTCAACCATTCCATCTGACTGAGGATGCAAAGGTGTTGTTCTGGTTTTATTGGCTCCTAACAATCGACAAACATCTTGGAACAAAGCCGATTCAAAGTTCCTTCCTTGGTCTGAATGGATTTCTACAGGAACACCAAAACGTGTAAAGAACTCCTTTACCAACACTTCTGCAACTGTTGCTGCCTCTTGGTTTGGAATGGCGTAAGCTTCAGTCCACTTTGTGAAATAATCCATAGCCACTAGGATATATTTATTTCCGCCATCTGTCCCGGGAAACGGTCCTGCGATATCGATAGCAACTCGTTCCATCGGACTACCAACGTTATACTGCCTCATGGGTGCCTTCTTCTTGGAAACTGGTCCGTTTCCAGTAGCACATAACTCACATTTTTTGACACCATCGCCGGACATCTTCTTTACGGTTGACCCAATAGAATCGCTCACGTACCCTTTGCAACGTTTTCGTAATACCAAAGTGTCCTCCGGAAGCGCCGTCATGCAATTTTTGCAATACTTCCGACACTTTGCTTCTAGGTACTACTAATTGCAGCGTCGATTCGGTGCCATCTTCACTTTCAAGGGTCCTATACAACAGGTTGTCTTTCAGAGTCAGGCTATTCCATTGGCCCCAATAACTCTTTACTTCAGGACTTGTGGCACTAATGTCTTGCCAGTCTGGTCTTTGTCCGTGGCGTATCCAATTCAGAACAGTTTTTATACTTGGGTCGTTTTCTTGGGCCGTTTTGATTTCGCTTGGCTTCCATTCCTCACTCTCTACAGTTGTTCGCCGCAGATGGCCAATCTTGTCTTCTATTTTAGAACAATGTGTGCAGTTGTCCTTGCACGGTCTTCTTGACAAAGCGTCTGCATTAATTGTGAACTTTTCCAGCCCTGTGTTCAATGTCGTAGTCATATTCCTGAAGACGTTCTAACCATCTTGCCACCTGTCCTTCTGGGTTTCGGAACTGCAAGAGCCACTTTAGCGCTGCATGATCTGTCCTTATCAAGAACTTGCGGCCGTAAAGGTACTTATGGAAATGTTCGCATGCCTTTACCACACCCAGGAGCTCTCGCCTAGTCACACAATAATTCCTCTCGGGTTTCGACAGTACTTTGCTGAAATAGGCAATGACTCTTTCCTGTCCGTCTTGCAATTGAGAGAGAACAGCTCCAATGGCGGTGTTACTGGCATCGGTATCTAGCACGAACTTTCCTTCATTTCTGGGGTAGCCAAGGATAGGTGCGCTAGTAAGAGCTTGCCGGAGATGTTCGAAAGCTCTTTGACAGTCTTCACTCCATTCGTACTCATTGCCCTCTTCTGTCAACTTTATTAATGGTTTAGCAATGTTGGCAAATCCTTTCACGAATCGTCTATATAGGTGCACAAACCGAGGAAACTTCGAATCTCGTGCTTGTTCTCAGGAATCGGCCACTCTTGAATCGCTATAATCTTCTCTGGGTCAGCTGTAACACCATCACGAGATACGATGTGCCCCAAATATTTAACTTCTTTTTGGAACATAAAGCATTTCTTTGGACTTAGTTTTAAATTGGCCTCTCGTAATCGTCCAAACACCTCTCTCAGGTTCTTTAGGTGTTCTTCAAAAGTTTTCCTACGACAATTACATCATCCAAATATACCAGACATGTCTGCCACGTTAGTCCCCTTAGAACTGCTTCCATAAGTCTCTCAAACGTCGCGGGGGCATTACACAATCCGAAGGGCATTACTGTGAATTGCCAAAGTCCAGAGCCTATAGAA